ACTCGGTCCACCTGGGAGTTGAGGCTGCTTTTCGTGGATCGGGTGGGGTCAGGGCAGTGGAGAGTAGGAGTGAGGGAGAGAGAGGAGAAGTGCGGAAGTTGACTGGGGCGGAGATTAGATTTACATAGAACCCTGTACTGAAGGATGAGTATTAGGGCTATCTAGCAGGCAAATATATAGAGGGGATTGAGGGAAGGGGCGCTGAGGAGAGATGGGGGCGACTGAAGTCAGTAATAGCTAAGACCGCGGTGGAACTAGGCCTATCTAAAAAAGTCGGGAAGGGCAGGAAAAAAGACGGGGATCCCTGGCTAGGTGATGACTATTGGAGCCAGAGGGCGATCGTTTACAGTGCCCTCAAACGTTTCCTGGGCTCTCGTAGAGACGTGGAGAAGTCGGACTATCACAGGGAGAGGGCGGAACTGAAGATGTTGCGAAAGCAGAGGATAAATGAGATAGCGGAAGAGAAAAACAATCGGGTTTTGAAGATTGCAGATATGGGGGAATTTTAGAACGCGGTCAACCTATGTCGCCCTAGAGTCGAAAGGAACGGAGCGTACATTCCGGCGGAGAAGTGGGTAGAACACATATGGAATTTGCTGGGAAGGACCGATGTGTCTAGAGATGAAGACAAGGAGTGGGAAAAATGGGAAGAGTATTTCGAAGTGGAAAAGTTGGACGGAGACATATAAGTTACGCGCAGTTCTGTGTGGCGCTCAAAGGGTTGAAAAGTGGTAAGGCAGCTGGGGAGGATAAAATTATAGGGGAATTGTTGAAAAATCTTTCAGATAACTGGAAGACGGAGCTATGACAGGTGATCTGGAGGAACAGTACACTTTTTGAGGGGTGGCAGTTAGAATATTTCCTATCCATAAAGGGGGGGGGGATGAGAATGATGTGGGGAATTAGAGGGGGATCTCGTTGCTTAATGTGGGTTACAAACTGCTGGCCAGTATCATGGCGGATAGGCTGAGCAGCCCTAGAGAAGGAGGGAAAATTCAGGGAGAGCCAAGGGGGTTTTCGGAGGTCCGAAACGGGTACGCGGGAGCAAATTTTTATTTCAAACACGCTAATAAGGAACAGAATCAACCATAAGAGGAGGAAAATTTACACTGCCTTCATCGACCTGCGAGCTGCTTTTGATACAGTAGATCGAGACCTGCTACTCGAAAAACTATGGAGGCTAGGGATAAGCGCACGCTTTTATAACATGGTCAAGGCGATATATACGAGAAGTCAGTAAACGATGTGATAACGGAGGAGGGGATATCGAGCAGATTTGAGACGGGTAGAGGGATGAGGCAGGGCTGCCCTTCAAGTCCCATTGTTTTCAACTTATTTATAGACGATATTGATGACTACTGGGAGAGGAAGGGGGAGGGGGTACTGTGGTGGGTCTGGCCAAAGTATTCTGTCTTAAGTACGCTGATGATATAGTGGCGGTACCTGAGAGTGCGAGTGAGCTCCAGAGTATGAAAATATTGCGGATAAATATTTTAAAAGAAACGGTCTGGAGATTGACGTCAACAAAACAAAGGTCATGGTTTTCAGGGGGGGGAGGTCGATTGAAAAAAGGGGGAAAATGGGAATATTTAGGATTTTGGTTTTTGGCTAAAAACGCTTATGGGGAGCATATACGTAAAACGGCGGGTAAGGGCTCAAGAGTGGTGAACGCAGCATCGCGGGTGGCCATGAGAGCTGGCCTAAGCTCACTCAACAGTAGGCTTTATGTCATGAATGTACTGGGGAAGTCGGGGGCTATGTACGGAACAGAGATTTGGGAATTAAAAGTTAGGGAAATGATGGAGAGGGTGCACGGAAAGATAGAAAAGTGGGGGATGGAGGTCTCAAGAAACACGCCAGGCTACCTGTGGAGAGCGGAAAGTGCGAGGAACAACCTTGTGATTGAAACCAGGAGACGAGTGCTAGCCTTCCTGGGGGGGAGGGGGGGGGGTAAGCAGACTGGAGGAGGATAGGCTTGTGAGGGTCTATCTCCAGGAGGAGCTCAGGACTCAGGGGAATCTCAATTCATCGGCGTGGGGTAAGGAGCTGAACAACGCCTTAGACGAGGGGGGGGGAGGACTTTCTGGAGGTTTTTAAGCAGAGAAAGTTTGAGTGGAAGGACTTCCAGGATAGCTTGAAGGATTTCCTGGAGAGAGGGTTTGAAAAGGAGCGCGCTCGGGACAGGGGTAAAATACGGGATTCGACCCTTAACCCACTCTATAATCAATAAGAAAAAAGTAATAAGTCCGGGTCTAATAAATTCGGGTGAGAAAGATAACTATTGGGGGATGAAGGGGAGGGTTCTCTCAAAGAAATATGGGGGGATTGGAGAAAGCTCGGGAGGGACGAGTCAATTGTGGACTTACTGAAGGGGTGGCCGATTCCGGAGTTATGCAAACTTGTCAGGGGCTGGAAGAAACTGATGAGAGAGAGGGAGACGGTTGAGAAACGTCATTGACTAGCTCCGTTTCGGCAGGTTCTATTTCTTTCTCTTCGCAGGGAGGTGAGGGAGGAGGAAACTTAGTTTCGTTCTGCGGGGTAGGACGAGCGGGGAGTACTCATCGACAATCAAATGGAGGGCGAGGGTGATGACTTCCGCGTATCTTTGGTTTTTCTTTTTGGGAGGTTCGCGTATCCACATTGCGGATGTTGCGATTTTTCCTCGTCTTTAGTCTCTGGACCAATAATGGCGAGGATAGGCCCAAGGCCGGGGCACCTTTCATCTTCATCTTTGTTTCTAGGAAGATTATGTACTTTGTTGCTTTGTATAGAGTCTTTTATCATCGTTCAAATCAACCTATTGTACTTTTATATTTTTGCATTATATTTTACGAAATTTGAATCTATGGGGATTGGGGAAGGCATATACGTAAAATGGCGGGTAAGGGCTCAAATACGTAAAATGGCGGGTGGGGGGTGGCCATGAGAGCTAGCCTAAGCTCGCTCAAAAGTAGGCTTTATATCATGAACGTACTGGGGAAGTCGGGGGCTATGTACGGAACAGAGATTTGAGAATTAAAAGCTAGGGAATTGATGGAGAGGGTGCACGGAAAGATACTAAAGTGGGTATGGGGGTCTCAAGAAACACGCCAGGCTATCAGAGAAAAAAATGTGAAAACCCGAGAGGGTATATACAGGGAAATAAATTTGAAAAAAATATTTGTGAAAGAGTCAACAATATATTTTTAATATTTTAAGGATAATTTTTCTGCCCATTTTACATGAATGGCGCACATGTTTACATCAAACAAAATGAAATTAGCTGTGTAGGACTCGAATTTCAAAAAACTAATTCGTAATTGTCATTGTACATATTTTTTTTTAATGAAAAAAATTTTCTGCTGCTCAAAAATTGGAGGCCTTGGACTATTTTCAACATTTTAAGCGGCTGGGGCAAACTAACAATAAACAATTATTTTGTTTGCACCAATTATTCGTTTGAGACATACATAATCGATCTTCAATGCATGAGAAATCTTGAGTCGGCATTGGTTGAGGAGTGAAAGCTGGTGAAAAATTGCTCATTTCTTGGAAATGGTGCCCCTAAAGCCTTTTAGATGAGCAACTAGCGAGAGTCTACTGTATAGAAAGTCGTTACCTATCACAGTGACAGGGAATCACTACGGATCCATTCGGGCGCTTATATCTGCTAAGATATATCCATTAATGGGTCTCCACAGTAATTTTCACCACAAATGAGAATGTGCTAGTGAACTGAATATGTCATATACTAATCAAGAATGGTAAAATGAAAATTGTAAAAAAAAACTCTGAGTAGTATTATCATTTCGTTCGTTTTTAATTAATTATTCAAACTTCGGCTTATACATGGGCGTTATGAACGCTATTTCGTCCCTTACCCTTACCTTTTGAGAATTTACTTGCCAACAAAGGAAGCTGTATTGATCTATATTAAATATCTAAAAATACAGACACGAAGTCTCGTCAAGCTTTACCGTTAATTTGTTGAATAACATCGATAAAAATAATTGGCGCGATGTCTGTCACTATCCAACGTACGCCACGTTTGATGTTTTGTCTCTCTCGACAATAACCTCACTAACTTCAGCATTTTACGCTCCACTCACCCGCGCGCCCATCCCCGTTTTGCTGTACGGAGCAGATCCCTTAAGGATATCTAAGTAATTCTGGCAATTTTTCCTGGGTGAAATCCTCTTCAGAGTTTATAGAATAGACCAAACGTATTGTTTTATAATTGTGCTTGAAAAAAAATTGTCAACTTGAACAAAGTACCTGAACAAAGTACTTGGATATCCTTAAGGATATCCAAATACTTCCTTCAAGTTTCAAACTTAGTGTTAAGCAAGATTTCAGCTTTGTCGAAAATCTTGCCATCCCCATGCTTTTTCCGATTTCGCATTATTGAATACATTTTTTCGAGAATTGATTCAATGAATATTGCGAACAATATTTTATTCAATTTACATTTAACTCTCATTGGTCTAACCTCTAATGATCATACGGCAACACTGCACATGTGTTCCATATAACCTCGTAAATTTGGTCTGGGTAGTTACTTGAACAGGCTGTTACTAGATCTGAGGAAAGCGTAGGCTTAAACCACTCAATATGGCCGTTGTAGCAATCAAGAAGTTTTTTATTTGATTGTTTGCAATTGTGTGTCTGAAACCTTATATTTTTCAATGTCGCAAACAAATAGAGAGTATGACAAACAAAGTCATATATGGCCATGTATATGGGAAAACGCATCAAGACTATGAACTATGGGATTAAAGGTGGAAATTACACTTTTTATGGACGCAATGTTTTGAATTTCATAAAAAAAATAGCTTTCTCGAATAAATGTTCGCAAACCAAAGTTGATATTGCGGCAAAAAAATATTGTTGGTCTATTTTATAAACTCGAAGACGATTTCTTCCAGAAAAAAGTTGCCCGGACTACTTGGCTGTTTTTAGGAATAAATTTCCGAATAAAAAACCAAATGAGATTTTATTAACTGAATAATCTTCTTTTACAGCTGAGTAAAAAATCATCTCATGTTTTACAAGGCCGAACAGATGGCAATACTCGTGTAATAATCCACGATCCAGCAATTCCTAGTGACAGGAAAACCGATGTATCTAAGACGATAAACTCAGGAGATTACATTGTTGCCCAAATCTGCGGCTCGAATTCGAATACACTCACTGGAATACCTTTATACCACACAACGATATCAGAATACGCAAGACAAATAGCGAGTCAAAAACAGCGTCATGGCCAGTACTCCTAGGATATGCATACTCAAAACGGAGTGCTGTTTTGTGTAGAGGAAACAGGAAAAAAATGTTGTAATCAGTTGAACGTAATGTATATATTTTATTTAGACTGAATAAATATCTCTGCTTTACGATAGATCTTGTATCATAGCGACAATAAATCTAACCACCGTAGTAAGTTGCGTTTAATTGTTCAGCCTCCATCCACATTGATTAAAACAAAAGCATCAAAATGACTATTGATCGATGGATTTTCATTCACTTTCTCTTTTATTTTGCTTAGAACGATTTTTAGTTGTTTAGGCAAGGCTTGCTGTACCAATATTGATGGCCATATTATCACCACTTCTTTCGCCAACTGTGAGCATGATGTTGACCATTTGGGTAATTCATTTGGATTAATGGTAAATTTACGTCACATTCTAATCGACCTGAAAACAGATAAAGCAGTACAGGGTTGGGTCGATCTCTGAAAATCGGGGTTTTCTACTGTATAGTAGAATACAGGTAGTTTACCTCCAAATGGTAAAGAAGGTCGATAACTGGTAGAAAACTTTTAACCCAACTATAAGAGTCTCAGTGAATGGTATACAGATAGCATAATTAATACAAGGAACAAATTAATTGATCCAGAATAGTGACTCCATTTAAAAATTCTAAAACACTGAATTTTACCGGTGTGGTACGATTTGAAATGAATAACAAATCTAAAAAGTCTCAAGGATCTTCTCGAAACGTAAGTATGAGTGGCATCTATTTTCATATTCGCGAATAGAATGTGCTAATACTAAAATGATGAAATAATACATGATCGAGAATAAAAATAAATTTTAAATGTTGAACATTTTTCATCGTTCTTCTCCGGTGCAGTCTCCGGGTAAGAGAAGGAAACGCAATCCTCCAGAAGCTTCTATCAGCAATAAAAGATCATCGACTCCAGATTCAGAAAATGATGAGGCTTTGGCTGAGTTTTTTTTAATGCAATATACCATTCAACGTGGTAGAATCGAAATACTTCAGACGGCTTGTCAAACTTCTGAATCCCACGTATCGAGTACCACCGAGAAAGAGGCTTTCAACAAAATTGTTGGATAAAATCCACCAAAAGTTAGTCAAACAATCTGAATTCAGCGATGAAACAGATGGTGTATTATTGATAGATGGCTGGAAAAATTCGTCAGCAAACACTAAAAATGTTGTTTGCCCAATTTTCACGACAGATAGAAGAAGCATTTTTTTGAATTCATGGGACTTCACGGAGTTGAGTGAAACCGACGATGCGCTAGCTCAAATCATGGATGAAGCTGTTGTCATGGTACAAGACAAATTTAAAGTGAATCGCTTCCATCTTCTGCTTCTCCGAAACATGGCTTACTGCAACTTCATTCTACATTCCATCCTCTCTTCGTGATTTTTCCTGCCACTGGAAAGACGCAGCGTCGAACGTTGATGGAGGCCGGCCTAGTGGTCGGCCTAGTGGTGGGCTTGGGACTCTCTCTAAGATGCCTTCATTTTTTATAAGTATCTGCCGCTACTGGATCTTCTGTAGAATTGAATCTAAAGAATTAAACTTTGTTCTTGGTGATATTTATGCTAAGCCCTCTGCTAATTTCTCTTCTTTTTTAGATAAACTGCAAAAACTGCTTGATAGACTTGAGGAAAGCTATGAGGATGTACTTGTCGTGATTGGTGGTAACTTCAACTCTCGTGTTGGCAGCTCTGGCGCTCTTCCACCTGAACTCTTTGATGGTACAGTCTGCTTTAATGAAGTTCTAAACTCCGATTCATATATGAGCGGCAGGGCGCCATATCTCACGGATTTTATGGCAAGAAATGGGTATGTACTCATCAATGGTCGGGTGATGGGCGACAGGCCTGCCAATTGGACCTTTCTTGGTCATTCGGGCACCAGTGTTATAGATTTAGTTTTTGTAAAATCCTCGCATTTACATTTGGTTCAAGACCTCAGGGTTGACTCGTCCATTCCTTTCTCCGATCACTTTCCTGTAATTTTTTCACTACGTACCCCTTCCTCTGTCTCCCCTGACTTCTCAGCCTCCCCTCAACCTGTGTCTTCAACACCTAAACTATGTCCCAAGTGGCTCCCTTCGAATCAGATTGGTCTCGAGATCTACGCCAAGTCTATTGACTTCTTTCTCATCAGTCTCACCCCCCAAACCGCTCTCGCTCCTGATCAAATGAATAAACTTTCACTCCATGATCGTCAGCGCTGCCTCTCAGGCTGGCTTCTTGCAAACTCCCCCCTTGCCTCCTCAAAAACACCGCGGATCCAGATCTGCGTGTCAAGCTTCGCGACCTGTTGAAGTCTAGGAATAAATTTAAAAGAAATAGATACTGTCATACTACTCGTAAAACTTTTCATCAATTACGCCGGGAATTCAAATCGCTCACAAAACACAAGAAAAAACAATTTAGAAATATGATAACTGCAACTCTGAATGATGCTTACGACAGTAATTATTTTGGAAAGCCTATAAAAAAATAAAACCCAAGCTAACGCTTACTTGTGGCGTTTCTATTGAAAAATGGAATAGTTTCTACGAAAAAGTGTTTCCACCAAGAGATCTCCCTCTTTTTATTCCAACAATCAACATCACCCCTGAACTTGAGCAAAAAATATCTGTGTTGGAGCTAGAGGCTACTCTCAAGAAACTCAAAGCTAACAAGGCTACTGGTCCGGACCTTGTTGCTAACGAATTCTACTCAGCCCTGCCTTTTAGTGGGATAAAATATATGGTTGACTTATTCAATAGAATACTGGAAACAGAAGTATGCCCTGAAGATTGGTCTAATGTTCTTCTTACTATGATTTTCAAGAAGGGTGATCACTCCGATCCCGTCAATTACCGTGGTATTGCGCTTGTGAATCATATTACGAAGATTTTTATATACATTCTGAAGGAAAGGCTTGAAAAATGGGTTGAGAATCGGAAAATTCTTCCTTCGTCACAGTTTGGTTTCAGGGCTGGTAGGGGGTGCACCGAGGCAATTTTCACACTCCTCTCCGCCGTCCAGCTCCAGCTGCGACTGCCGAAGAGAGAGGTCTATTCGATTTTTGTTGACTTGCGCAGGGCCTTTGACTCGGTGCCCCACTCCAGACTCTGGTCCAAGCTCAATGATCTGGGTATCAGCTCGAAAATCATCAGAATCATTAAGTCCCTTTATGATAACGCCAAGATTCAGATCAAAAGTAATGACCATCTCTCGGATAAGTTCGAAGTTACTGAAGGGCTTCTTCAGGGGGAAACGCTAAGCGCTCTTTCATTTATTTTATACATTTCCGACTTTGAGAGTTTTTTTCGGGACAGGAATATCTCTGGACTGAATATTGATGGTTTGGCTGATGTCTTGATGTTGCTTTACGCAGACGATACCGCTATTCTGGTAGACTCGCACATCAAGTTGCAAAGGGCGCTCGGTGTTCTCTCTGAATATTGTGACTTGAATGGCCTGGCGGTCAATGTCTCCAAGACTAAGATTATGATTTTCAAGAAAGCTGGAAGAATTAAAAATCTCCCATGCAAATTCAAGTTATACAAAGGTTCTGAGCTTGAGGTCGTCAGGTCTTACCTTTATCTTGGCGTACTTCTCTCCCGTAATGGGCTTGGCAACGAGGCGGCTAGGTATGCGATCTCCAACGCGAAGATGGCAACTGCTACGGCTCTCGGAGGACTCACGAGTTTGAACGTCAGTTCTTGGAGGACCTTTGCCACTCTTTATAACTCACTTGTTAGCTCTACTCTCCTTTATGCTATCCCCGCCTGGGGGCTTCTCCAGAGCGAAGATCTTGAAAGAGCACAACTAGGCTTTTTCAAACGTACTCTCAATCTTCCTAGATGTAGCCTTGGCTGGGCGATTAGGCTTGAGACTAATTTGACACATGTCCAATATAGAGTTATGAAGCTAACTTGGGACTGGCTCCTGAAAATCTTGAAACAGGATAGTTCCTTCCTCCCTAAAATCTGCATCTCTCGATTGATAGAGCTGAGTCGTAATCCTAGTTGTGATGTATCGTACAATTGCGTCTCGCAAATTAAAATCTTTCTCTCTAATAATGGCCATGTTGATCTTCTAGATGACCTTAACTTTTCCTCCTTATCCTCCTGCACCACCCAAATCTTTAACAATTATGAGAGTCACAAGAGATGGCGAGATGGCAAAGTTCATCCTCATGCCAGCTCACTCCAACATTTTGCCTTTCAAATCCTGTCTGGAAATCAAATTATCTAACTGAAAATCATAGTTTACACATTAAACGCGTGATGGCTCAACTGAGACTTGCGAATAATTATAGTTGTTATTTCTATATTTCTAAGGAAAAAGTGTCTATCAATCCAAGAGGCGCCTGTAGTTATCGTGATCTTGACGAGCCTGATACTCTTGAACACTTCTTTTTAGCCTGTCCAGTCACTGCCAACATACGTTCTAGTCTCTACTCTAGCTTTCCGCACTTTTTGAATCGCACTTTAAGTAACATAGTTTTTAATGCTAGTTTTTCTGAGGCCAAAGCTATCTACAGATTCACTTTAAATTGTTTCACTACTAGAAGAATCATTGATGTGCTTAATGCCACAATTCGCTCTGCTCAAAGATCTTTAAACTTTTGTGTATAATTGGTAACTTAGGGCTATGCTCTTACAAATCTATTATTGTCCAGCCAGCTGACCTTCGTTGTGCACTTCACTCAGCTTATTTTGTTAACTTTTTACGCTTTAGTCTATATATATTTTTTTTTGCTCTCTCGAATGTGAAATTTTTCTTTTTTTTTCATTCTCTTATGTTAAGCATCGTATATACTTTGTATATCTCTTCCCCCTCTGCGATGAGGCTATGTATCCTTATGTAGAAATAAATAATAATAATAATAATAATAATTTAAAGTGAATCTTTATGGAGTTGTATCGGACAATGCTTCGGCGAGGATGGAAGTGGGTCGACTCGTAAGTGTATGGCATACCACCTGTCATTCACACAGTGCAAATTTATTATTGAAGTCACTGGTCGATCCTAAATTTGCTGAAGCGGTCAATAAACTACTCCGAGAGTTCAAAGATTCTCGAGCTGAAAGAGAATTGAAAAAACGCAATGGTACAAGGATTATGCTCGCCTGCGAAA